GTCATGAATAGAACGCAGCAGCAGTTTTCTGTCAGGGATTTGTCGTGTCGTGCCGCGCCGCGCCGCATCCAGTGTAGACCAAAGATATGTATATATATATATATCTATGGTGTAGACAGCATCACTGATTATAATGAGTTCCATAGTATTTTGCAGAGCCACTCGTGTCCAGTGTAGACACGGTGTAACATTGGTTTTGCTTTGTTTCACAGAACTAATCGTTGCCTAGGTTGCGTACGTATGTGTGGGGCGGAGCTATCAAAATAGGGGCGAGACCCTTTTGGGGTAGGGGCGTGTTTGTTTTGGTGATTTCAAATGTCAACATTGGCTACCAGAAATCGCTTACCCCACCTTTAACTTTTAAATGCATCATTATGCAGAAAATATGAGCAGAATTCTCTGCATAAAGACCCACGGCTGGCGGATCAATGTGCTACTTCTTTTCTCTCCAATACGGTAGGAAGTTAAATGAAATGAAATGTGGAGATATAAACTGTGAGAAGATGATTGACAGGCTATTTTACAGTGACAGGGTGAGTGTAACTGTGCGACAGAGCGGTCCATTAGAGACGCAATTTTATGACATGATAGTATGTCCCAAAGCTTGCCAACTCTTCTACTACACACTCAAAAGTGTGTACTTTTTCTTCACCAAAAGAGTGAAGAAGGGCGTAGTATAAGTAGGCACATTGGGACGCAGCATACTGTAGATACTGCATTTGAAAATCACTCACCTCTATTTCCTGGTATGAGCTGTTTATCATGGCAATAAGCATGTTGAGCAGAACCACCACCATGGTAACATTGTAGATTCCGTACAGCACGTAGCCGATGTTTTCGATAAATTTATGATCATATTTCAACACCACAGAAGACACTTCAGACAGGCCGAATATGGACCAAAAGAGAGTTTTAAAGCTTTCCTCAACCCTGTGAACACAGACAAAAGGGAAGAGAGTGTTTAAGGTCAATGTGAAGTGTCCGTAACCCATTTTAAATTTTTTGTTTTAGTTATTTTCTTATGTATATCCTTTGACGATTTTATTATATATATATATATATATATTACATT